GCCGTGGCAACGAGCGGCGTCGATACCCTTTTCCCCCTTGAACGGCGCGGTGGCGGACGACGGGGACAGCTGGGGGAGCAAAACGGTGCCGGTAGCGCCACTCCACGGCCCTCATCCTGAGGTGCGTTCTGGCCAGGGTTTCCGGGCGAACATAGAGCTGCGACACCAGGCGGCATCGATGCCCTTTCCTCCCCTGAACGGCGCGGCAGCGGTAGCGGGCGACCAGGTCTGAGCGGAACCCGCTGCAGGCCAGCCCGATCTTTCAGAGTCGACGCCCGTCGGGCGAGCCAGGGATGAGTTTTCTTCTCCTCCTTTTCCGCCGTCCTCTCTCCTCCCCCTCCTTTCCTTTCCTTGCCTCCTCCCCCCTCCTCCTCGATTCGGGGAAACGCAGCGAAGCCGCGCGCCGCGACCCACCCGCGACCCACCTGCGACCCACGCGTGTCCGACACTTTCGCAAAATCGATGCCCCTGGAGCTTCAACCCAAAAAAGCATCGTAGGCCCCCCGGCCCAGAGCAAAACGCCAATCACATCCTAGGCCCCCAACCCAAGACGCAGCGGGCATTATAGGCCCCCCGGCCCAAAACGCAACTTACATTTTAGGCCCCCCTGCCTAAAGCCCAAACGATACATGATTGCCCCCCCCGTAAAATGTAGCCCTCCCCCCAGCCGCGGGCGGACCCAAAATTGCAAACGCGAGTTTCCATCATAAGCCCCGGGCCTATGTTTTAGGCCCCCCTTTTAGGATGGCCTAATTGTTTGGCCCGCTTGCTTTGTGTGTGTGTATATATATATATATATATATATATGTGTGTGTGTGTGGCAAAAACACAGAAATATAGAACAGGGCAATGTTTACGTGCTCCCCTAACGATGTTCGCATTCAGGGTACCTTACTTATTGCTCCAAGGGAACTGGGCCTGGTTGCCGGTCTGGCGGCTCCGTCGCCGCCGCCGCCCCGTCGCCGCCCCATGTCCGCCTCGTCGCCGTCCGTCGTCTGGGCCTGGCTGATGGCCTGGCTGTTATGTTGCCGCCGTCGGCACCGCGCCGCCGCCTCGTCGCCCCCCGTGGTCTGGGCCTGGTTGCTGGCGTGTTGGTTATATTGCCGCCGTCGCCGCCCCGTCGCCACGTCTATTGTCTTTTCCTACAAGCACATTCGGATTTACCCCCCCTCCTCAGTTTTATCGGCACCACCGGGGGTAATGCAAATTACATATTCATGTTGGCCCATCGTTCGTCGTAAATACGGATCCGTAGTATTCCAAGTTGGCTGTTCCTGCTTCCTCATCTTTGTCAAACGGTACAATGTGCGCGCATTCGTTTATCAAAAATCATACACATTCATTCTCACCAACAAACCCTTGCTAACATGTGGACACAGTCGACACGCGCGCGTCGTCGCGCGCGCATGCAAACATTGGAGACCCCGCCAGTGTTTCAGGGCCGACGTTCCCGAACACATTAGAAACCACTGGTTTTGCAACCTGCGGGCGCGCTCTCGCGATAACCAGATGAAAGACATGAGCCTTTCAACATTAACATCACATCCGACCAGGCGGGTTTATCGCGCGCGCATGTCGGAATAATCATTCGAACGCCTCCGCCTTTTCGCTTGCGGGGCACGATCCATGCCAAATAAGACCATGCGGGCCCCTCGCGCGCTTCGGCCGCGCGCGCAAGTCGAAGACCTTCCAAAACCGTCACCACTGACACATGGAAACCTTCGTCGTCGTCGGCGTGGCCAACATCAGCATCGTCAGCGGCCTTGCCGTCGTCATCGTCATAATCTTTCCATTATCGCTGCAATCATAAATTGTGTCTGTCGTCGTCGACGTCGCCATGATGTTGCGCCCGCCCGCGCTTCCGACCCGTACGGAAGTACCCTCGCGCCAGCGCAGTTTGCGAGACTCGCTGGGAGGTCCCCAGCGTGCTCGCGCTGGCGCGGCCGCAGCGATGCGCCAGCCAAGCCAAGCAGTTATCGCAATTGCCGCCGCATGGGTTTTGCCAACCAGGCTGCGGTTGGGAGAGTGGGATGTTTGCGCAAGCAGCAGAGTTGCCAACGCCAAGTGCCGGCAAAGTGAAGGCTGCACCATTTTGCACAGCATAGATGATATTCAGGAGGGAAAGAAACACACAGACACAATTAATCGTCGATCCCCCAGAAAATATGGGAAAACACGGGAAGTGGGGGGAAGACAGAAACCCAGAACATATTTGAAAATATTTGGAATCTTGTTATTTTTGTGTATTTATTTGTGTGTCCCAGGGCTCCTTCAGATATAGCATCGTTTGGGCCACATGCTGTTGCACAGCATCTATTGCATGTCGGCCAGCGTGGACCCCGAGACGGCAGCCTCCTGTGGTGCAGCGTGTAGCGCCGTCGATAAAATCCATGTTGTGCTGTAACCTAGGCTTGGCATCGCTCGGACGTGTGCATGTTTCCTTCGGCGAGGGCCATCGAGGAGCATCCTTGATCATCTGGCGAACAAATCACGCACGAAATCGAAACAAAAAACAGGGAATGTACGTCCGAGCGATGGCGAGGTGGTTCAAACTTGCGCCGTGCCCTAGATGTTGAACAGCTTGTGCTTGTTTTCCAATATCTGCGGTACGTTATGGGTTGTGCAATGTATGTTGTGCAGCTTTTGACGTGCAACTTACGTGGTGCAATTCATTTCTGTTCGCAGTGAGTTGTCCACCCCACTGCTTGCGCAAACATCCCACCCACCCACCCGCAGCTTGGTTTGCAAAATCTCCTAAGACCGTGACGGTGGGTACCAAATAGCACTTGGCCACGACAGCGACGCCGACGACGACAACGACAACGACGACGACGCCGCCGACAACGACTACGACGACACCGACGCCGTCTCCAACGACTTCGACGACGCCGACAACGACGACGACGACGACGACACCGACGACGACGACGCCGACGCCGACGACGACGACGATGACAACGACGACGACGACGATGACGACGCCGACGACTACAACGACGACACCGACGACGACGACGACGCCAACGACGCCGACGACGCCGACGACGACGACGCCGACGACGCCGGCGACGACGACGACGCCGACGTCGACGACGACGAAGACGACGACGCCGACGACGACGACGACGAAAACGACGACGACGAAAACGACGAGGGAGGAGGGAGGACGACGACGGCGACAACGACGACAACGACGACAACGACGAGGGAGGAGGGAGGACGGCGACGACGCGAACGACGAAGAAGGAGGAAGGGCGGCGACGCCGACGACGACAACGACGAGGGACGACGACAACGAGGGAAGACGACGACGACGACAACGACTACGACGACGACGACGACGACGACGACGGCAACGAAATAGGAGGGACGACGGCGAGACGCCGACGACGGACGACGACGACGACGAAAAGGGAGGAGGAGGAAGGACGACCACGGCGACAACGACGACGGAAACGACCACGACGCCAAAGAGGACGACGAAGACGAACACGAGGAAAGACAAAGGACGACGTAGGCGACGACGACGACGACGCGGGAGGAGGGAGGACGGCGACGACGACGACGACGACGCAAGAGTGCGCGCGCACGTTTTTGTTGAAAATCCGTGTTGCGAAACTTTTTGTGTTTTTGTAAGTTTTTTGGACACGATGTTGAAATCCTTCCGAAACATATGGGTTTTGAAGGATTTCGGCATACGCGCGCGACGACGCGCGCGTCTGCACTTCGTCTCATCTGTTGCAGAGGATTCTCGCGACGGCACACGCGCAAGGGCGTTCGACAGATTTCGACATGCGCGCGCGAAGCCCGTTCGGCAGTTTTTTTTAATGTTTGAAAACCTATGGATTTCTTAAGATTTCGCAAGAGCTCGCGCGTAAGCTTTTTTAGCCAATCTGTGTTGCGAAACCATGTGGTTTTTATATGACTTTTGGAAATTCGATTGCCAAATCCTTCAGACACCGAAGGTTTTTGAAGGATTTCGGCATGCGCGCGCGACGACGCGCGCGTGTGCACTTCGACCTTTTTTTTGCAAGGGATTCGCGAAAAAAGTGTTATATTAGAACAAAAGATGTCCCCGCGTATTGTTTTTTTTAGAAGGGAACCTCAGGGGGACCGATCCCCGCTCCCCTGGGATAGTGTGTATATATAAATATATATATACTTAGGATGGACATGTGGTCATAATCATATCTGATCTACATACCCGAGAGGGGGGCGGATGACGCCAGGGGGGGGTAGAGTCTATTCTCGTCTAAGAAAGGAGAAAATATGTTGTGCGATTTATGTTGTACAACATGTGGTGCAATCTACGTGATCTCAGTTGTTTGGCGCAAGCGATGACGTGCAATTTATTTGAGGAACATATGTGGTGCAATCTATGTGGTGCAAACGGTGAAGCAATTTATGTGGCGCAGTTCATCGGCGGAGGCGGGCGGCGACGGAGTTGCAACGGCGAAAACATAGCCGCCAAACCGACAAACCGGCCTAGACGACAGGCGGCGACGGGGCGGCGACGGGAACATCATCACCGCCAGACCACCACACCAGCCCTGGTTGTAATTAAATCGGTATGAAACTCCAAATTGCAAGTGCTGATTGGGGAACCATCGCGCAACATAGATCTTGCCACATAGATTGCACAACCGAGATTGTACCACATAGATCGCACCACATTTATTGCACCAACATGATTGCCCCACATAGATCATACAACCTTTTTCCGCTACGTGTATTGCACAACCTAGGTTGCTAGACAGTCACTGCTTGGGGTCCATGCCATGCCGGCTAGCATATAGAGAGGGAGAGAAAGATAATGAGAGAGAAACAGAGAGAGAGAGAGAGGAGAGAGAGAGAGAGAGACAGAGAGAGAGAGAGAGAGACAGGCAGAGAAGTATAGAGATACAGTGAGAGAACGAGTGTTTCTTCGTGAGAAAGGTGGACGGGCAGTGGCAAGTAGAGCGACGGGAGCATGAGCGAGCAAATCTCACAGCACTGCCCAGGAGCCCTACGCTAGAGTGGCGGCCGCGCGGCACGGCCTTCCCCCTCCGGACGCGGGCGAACTGGTTGGAGCACCGGACCCGCTTTTGATTAGTTGTCTTCCTGTCTCGCAGGCGATGTTTCTATCCCAACCCCCGACTTTTCGTCGAAAAATGGAGCGGCTCAGAAAGGAGGGAAACCCTGGGATACACCCCCAGGGGGCTATTCGGACGCACCCCTATCGAGGATGGACGCCCCCCCTCGTATATCCCAGGGTTGGGCCCCAATTTTTGAGGTCCATTCGAGAGTCCCACGAAGCCTGGGATAGGGGTCGACATATCCCCTGTTACAGTCTTGTTGTGAGATGGTTGCTTCCGGAGTCTCCATGCGACGCCTGGAATGCAATCGGGGGCGGAAAAGAGGGGGGTGATGACTAGGGGGGGGTGGAGTTCATGGCGCGGGCCATGATTTTTCCTCAGATTTCATGGCGCCGCTTCTTATTTTATTACGTCCTAGGCCCCCCCGCTGAGCCGCGCACATGCCGCCGGTCATGATTTGCACCCCCCCCTCTTGGACACCCCCCTCTAGGCCGCTCCCGATGCAAGGGGGTCGGGGTCAAGGATGCCTGAGTTTCCAGACGTTTTCCCGTGTCTGCTTCACCCCTCTCGCCCTCCCGACACCCTAGAGTGCTCGTCCCAGCACCAGCGCCCCTTGCCCACAGGAGTTGTCGTCGCGATGACACGCATCATCTGATGAATACTTGGCTCCCTCGTGCGAGCGTTCTGGCTTCCATTGGCTGATTGCTTCCCGCTTTCCCCTTCCTCAGTTCGTGCGCTCACCTCGCGCACCCAGCGAGAACCCCCGTTCTTGATCGACTCTGGATCCTGCTTTCCTGGAGGAGCAGAAGGAGGAATCCGACGGGAAGGATGAGGAGGACGAGGAGGAGGAGGCGATGATGGGAGGCGAGGACACGGCTGCTCCTTCGCGGCCTTTTTCCCGAGCGAACCGTTCCCCTCATCGCAGCACCAGGCATGTCGCTATGGTGGGCGGGGCGTGTCGCTGGGGTCTTCCTCGCTACCCATGTGTGGCCCGGGGGCTTGACATCCCCGACCGCGGCACTGGTGGAGGACGCGTTGCTTTCAGAAGGCGGCTCGCGCGATGGCGTTGAGCACGTTCGCCTGGAACTCCTGCACACAGCTACATAAAGCGACGCAAGAAAAGGTGGTCGCCTGCGCGGGCTGTCCGCCCAAGATAGAGCGTAAAAACGCCCTGGCTTCCATTCTAGCGTGCCGCGTCGGCGGCCCGCGCAAGCCACCGCGTAAGGCTACTTACTGTGTCGTGGTGCGTAAAGCCAGTTGTTGTTTTATTTCGTCGCTTCGCTCATTCCGCCGGCCCTGGAGCGCTATTTGGGGCCTCTTGGGGCCCTCTTGGGGGCTTCTTGGGAGCGTCTTGGGGCTCCTTGGCGGCGTATTGGGCTCCCCCGGGGCCTCTTGGGGCGGCTCTTGGGGGGCCCCTTGCAGCGGGAGGGGGGGTAGTCGTTGGCAGCCCCCCCCTTGGAGGCCACGATCCTCGTGAGGGGTGGCGAAAAATAGCCTCCCCCCTGGGGATCGCCTGGGGGTCAGCCAGGGATCGGCCGGGGTACTTTTCGTCCGGGGCCCCCCAGGGGCCGCCCCGCGCGCGCGAACTAGAAATATTGTTAAGTAGTTACCGGAGATCTTAGCACGCCTCTGGCCCGTTGGGCCGGCGAACATTCTGGCCCCCAGGACATGGACAGGGCCAACATATATCCATATCCACCGCCAGCTGGGACACCAGGCCGTCGTTACCAATGGAGGAGGGGGAGGGGGCGGGGGAGGGGGAGGGGAGGGGCAAGGGAGGGGAGGGAGAGGGAGGGGGATGGGGGAGGAGGAGGAGGAGGAGGAGGAAGGCGGAGGAGGAGGAGGAGGAGGAGGAATGTTAGATGGCGCCCTCCGCCGCCCATCCCCCGCCAGGGGCGCGCCGGCCTCGTCGGCCGGCTGCGGGGGAACGTGGCGGCTTCCGGAGCCGCCGCCGCGGGTGCAGGCGGCTGGCGCAGGGGGCCCTCCCGCGCCTCGTCCTTCTCTCGCCTTGGGCTGGAGCTGATGGGCAAGCTGTCCCACCACCACTACCACGTGTGGCACGGGGGAGAAGGGAGGACGAGGAGGTCCTCCTCCTCCTCCTCCTCCTCCTCCTCCTCCTCCTCCTCCTCCTCCTCCTAGGCGTGGGCTTGAGGCGCCGGAGGCTTTTCCTGGCGTCGCGTTTTGGATTCGCTCACAATCTGACTTGCACCAGCCCGCCCCAGGCTCGCGCTTGCCCAGGCGCGAGTCGACATACTGTTACGGCATACCGGCAGGCAGGTCTCGATCTCCAGCCTGGCACAGACGACGGCGCCGTGTTCGTGCTACTGCCAGGCGTCTCTTGAAGGTTGAGAAGCTGCGGGCATTGTTGAACAATCACCACGGATCGCAGGAGCCCTTCATGCATGGATCCCCAGGCGGCGGGGGAACTATGTCGGGCAAACGGCCACCAGTCCAGAAGGAACCGAAGTGGGCTTGCCTTGCGACAAGGCAGTGCGGCTTCCAGGGCAATTATGCTAGTAATGATAAGTGTTTTCAGTGCGGTCGCGATCGCCGTGGCGTTCCAGATCAGAATTTCGTGCCACGACAGCGACCTTCGTCACGACGTGCTGCCTTGCGGCCTCGAGCTGATTCAGGAGGTGGCAAAGTCAAGAAGGATGGCGACAGCGGCGGACCAGCAAGTCCTGCCGACGAAGTCGCTCAGGCTCGCCGCGCCCTGCAGGCGCTGCGAAAGCTCGGCTTGTCCGACAATGCAGCAGTTGTGCAGCAGGCCAAGCGAGATCTTCAGTCGGCGGAGGAGAAAGAGCAGCAGACTCGGACCCCCGACGACATGCTACGACGGTCCCTCGATAGGCACACAGCCAAATCCAAAAAAGTGGATGAGCTCAAAGGGGCCGTCTCTGAGCTTGACGAGAAGCTGCAGGCAAAGAAGGCCTCCGTGGCCCAGGCCACCACAGAGCTGCAGAGCATCCAGGCTGAGGTCAACATGGCTCGGACTGCAGTGCTGGCATCAACAGCGCAGGGATCAACATCGACGCCTTCGCTGCAGGACGCGGTGGAGAGGCTTCAGACGGTGGTGGCAGGAACCCCTGCGGCGTTATTGGCAGGTAACCCGCAGGCCATGCTGCAGACGCTCGCAGAACAGTTGGCCCAGCTACAGAGTGCAGTCCAGTCGCAGGACCCCTCGCAGCAGCCAGCTCAGCCGCCGCAGCAGAGGCAGCAGCATATGCAGCCAGCCCAACAAGTGCAGCATGTGCAGCAAGCTCCCTCTCCAGGAGGTGCTCCCTCCCGAGCGGCTCCAGGTACTCCTAGTACGAATGGACAAGAGCACCCGTGGACCAATCTCCTCAACCAGCAGCAGGCCGAGGATGAGTCCACGGACAGCGAGACTTGACAGCGACATTCATTGGTTTCCCATGCCGCGGCTGTTCAACAATCAGGTCGTCTCCCTCGATGACCTGCCGTTGTCTGAACTACCCGCAGCGCCAGTTCAAATTCCTGGGCCTTGCCCAGGTTCCTTCGTCGCCAGGGCGGTGACCCAGTCCCTGGGCAGTGTCGGCACAGGAGTCGGCAGATCAGCGAGTGGACTGGGCGCCCAACCCGATTTGCTGGACGTTGACTGCACGAATGGTACTTGCGGCATGAGGGGCGATAGGTCATCATCGGCGCACGTTCCAGGACGGCTGCAATTTCTACATTCCCAGAGGGCGGCTCGCCGAGGCAAGCGTAAGCCCTTCGTGTTCGTGACCTACAACGCCAACGGCTGGACCAGGCAACGTGACTTTTTGGGCGAGGGAGCTGCTGGCGCGCTCATCGTCGCGTCGCAGGAGGTTCGGGTCCGAGGTGATCAGCGGAAGCAGGCTGAAGAATAGTGCATTCGACACAGGTGGCAGGCCTTCATCAGTGACTGCCAGGTTGGCCCTGGTGGGCAGCCTATGGCTGGAGTTGGTCTCTTTATCAAACATCACGTTGGCACAACCTACTTGGATGCTCTTCCAGGCGTGCACGATCATGTACTCGTTAAGTCGTGGTGCGTGGCAGTGTATGTTCACACAGGTCCGCGTGGTGGATTTATAGCTGGCAGTACATATCTTGAACAAGGCTTAGGCCTGACAGGCGACAACATTTCTCGGCTTCAGCAGCTGGGGCGTGCGTTGCGATACTACAGGGCCTCTTATGTCATTGCGGGCGACTGGAACATCAGTCCTCATACATTCAGCGAGAGTGCATTCATGGAGCGAGTTGACGGGCATTTGGTGGTCAGCTCGCAGGGCACGCATCGGGTGCCGACCATCGAGCACACTTTCCTTGATTCCTGGCTCGCCAGCGACGGGATGGCTGCCTCGATGTCGGACGCTCGTCGAGTCGAAGACTATCCACCGAGGCCCCATTTTCCGATGAGGGTCGAGATTGGGCCTCGCCCCAGAGCCAGACAGCCCATGCAGCTTCGTGGGCCTCGTGTTCTTCCAGGTAAGCCTGCACGGCAGCCTCGTCTGGCTGAGGACTCTGACGAGGACGACGGTTTGGTGCCCCTCGGCGATCCTGGAATCGACTGGGTCAGTAAGATGCGGGATGATGCGGCACTCGGGCCTGGCGACCCTCGATCGCGTGACAGACGTCTCGATGTTCTCTGCCAACAGCTTTACTCTGGAGTTGAGAAGGAGCTGGCGCCGCTCTTCGACTGCTCGGAGCACCGCAAGTATCAGGGCAGCGGCTTCGAGGTCACATACCGCAAGACCACCGCTGGCGGAGCTCTGTCTCATCATCAGCCCGCGGGCACGGCTCGGACCCGCGCGCTGCGCACGTTGCAGCGCCGTGTGGAGGACCTGGCTCACCTGGTGGCCAAACGTGGGCCTGTGCCTATGGAGCGACACGTTGCGACGTGGCAGCCGCTGCTGGACTTCGTTGGAGGCCACGGCAGGCTACGGCGCCTCACGGCAGCTCTGGACGCCAACGAGCTCGACGAGGCCGTCTACTACATCACTTGTTTCTTCGCGCAGCCGTCGGCGTACCACGTCGTCTTCCTGCGCGCCCTTGCTGCTGTTCTCTCCCAACGTGCTGCTCCTGATGAGCGGCGGCTTGGGCAGGCACGAGGTCAGGGCTTCGTCAAATGGCTCCGGGACTGCCTGAGTAGCAGACCCAAGCCCGTTCACTGCTGGACGAAACCTCGAGGGTGGCAGCTCTCACAAGTCCACACGGACCTAGGTCCCTCGAGTCACGCAGACGACGTCGCCAATTGTCAGAAGGATTTCTGGGCTGATATCTGGGAGGGTGGGTCTTCGCCAGCTGCCTTTGAGCAACTGCAGGCTGACCTCGATCAGCTCAGAGACTTGGGTCCTCGTTTACCTCCCATGGGCATCGCGGCGCTTCGCAAGGCCGCCAAGGCATTTCCTGTCAGGACCGCTGTAGGTGCTGATACCTGGAGGCCTAAGCACTGGGCCCTTGTTTCAGATGGAGCGCTGTCTTCCCTGGGATATTTATTTTACCTGTGTGAATGCTGGTCCTCCTGGCCTGGGTACCTGCGGCATGTTCATATTATCCTGCTTCAGAAGCCGTCTGGAGAGTATCGCCCAATCGCTCTCTTGGTTTCGTTATATCGAGTATGGGCGAAGGCCCGAATTGATCACGTACGTTCCTGGGCGAATCGTCCGGGGCGGCCTTTTCTTGCACTAGGAACTGGAAGGGCAACTACAGATGTTGCCTCGCGGGTGCTGCTTCATGGCGAAGCGCACCCACCGCAGAAAAAGGCACAGATGGACGACGTGATTTGTGTGCACGCCACCGTTGACATAGAGAAGTGTTTCGATCGAGTTTTGTGGGCTGTGATCTTGCATGGAGCTATCAAGCACGGTTTCCCTGGGGCACTGGCTACATTCGCGCTGCGCATGTACTCGTACGAGCGTCGCTTGTCGTGGTCAGGGGCTTTCTCGGGGCCAGTGTTCGCATCTCGAGGGGTACTTCCAGGGTGTAACATGGCGATGTTTATCCTGCAGCTAGTTCTTCTTACCCCAGTGGACTCTCTGCACGGTAGCTCGATGCACATCGACCGCGCGCTGCACGTGTACGCCGACGATCTGACCATACAGGTGAAAGCCACTATGGACATGATATACAAGCACGCGTGCTACATGTTGAAGGGGGTGGTGGATCTTCTGGGCTCCGTCGACCTCGCCCCCGCTAAGCGCAAGATGACCGTGACTTGCGCCTACCCTTCCGTGGCCAAGCGAATCGGCCGTTCCTTGGGACGATCTGGGTACCGATATCTGTCTGCTTTGGAAGTTCTGGGAGCTGAAGTTACGTCGGGCCGAGCTTTGAGTTATAGGAGGTTGAAGGCTCGGGTTCGAAAAATGACAGGACGTTTTCCCAGGCTTCGTCGGCTTCGCAAAGCAGGTGTACTGACTGGTAAGTTTGCCAAAGCCGCCGTACCTGCTGCGCTCAACTACGGTGTAGGGGTACACGGTGCTCCCCCCTCGGTGATTGAATCCATGCGCAAGACCATGCGCAGTGTGTGGTACGAACCTGGTCGTTCAGGGTCGGCGTGGATATCATCCTTCCTCCATGGGGGGGTCCACAGGACCCCCAGATAGCTGTCTGGACCGATCCTATTTTTCAATGGAGTTTGTAATGTTGGGATCGCTCTCAGCACGATTTGCTTCAGATGGCGTGGAGACGGCAGGTGCGGACAACATATTCCTCCAAGCATCCCTGGGGTGAAGTCGCTGGGCCTACAGGGGCTACCCTTCTAGCTTACCGTTCTCTGCAATGGGTTTCGTCGTCGGCTTTCGCTGTTCGGACCGATCTTGGGGATGTGCTAGACTTACGGGAAGCATCACCACTTGCTGTTCGAGATCTTGCTCGGGAATCAGCCGTTTGTCGACTATGGTCCGATTGGGCTGGGAGGCGAGAGCGTGATGCGACCTGTTCCTTGGCCCCCAGGACCTCCACTGGGTACTGGTTGGAGCCCGT